CCCTAAGGAAGATGAACCTGAGGAGACCCCTAATGAAGAGGAGGCCCCTAAGGAAGATGAACCTGAGGAGACTCCAAAGGAAGAGGAGGCCCCTAAGGAAGATGAACCTGAGGAGACTCCAAAGGAAGATGCCCCTAAACAAGATGTACCTGAGGAAACTCAAAAGGAGGAAGCTCCTGAACAAGAGGAAGCAAAAAAAGAAGCTTCTTCTGAAGAAGAAAAAATTGATGACCTCCTTGGAAAACTATAAAAAGCTTTAAGTTAATTAAGGTGAGTAATAATGAAAATGTATGTATAGAAATAACTATGAAACAGAAAAATATGGAGAGACAAAAGGAGAGTGAAAGAGAAGAGAACAACAGAAACGAAAAAAGAAGTAAAATAATACATGCTACATTTCCCTTTTGAAGATTGTGTAGTTCCAGTTGTATTATCCATACCTCACATAGGAATTTGTTTTTTCCGGGGGGTGGGCGAGTCAGAGAAAGAACAAAAGTTACATAGTTTGTATGGAAGAAAATTGGAATTTYCTGGRGTAGGGGGTMTTTAAAAGATTACCATAAGATCAAATTGTAATGATTATCAATATATATTTTTTCCTTTGCAGATGTTTCAAGTAATCAGTGTCACCCAACCGGCCTCAAGGCTTAAATTAATAGCTATTCTTATGGGTTTTTAATTACAATAAGTCTTCAGCCATTTCCTTACTGTTCATAATTTTTCTCCCTGTTTTATTTTATTTTTGYTTTATTGGTGCAATTTGAGTAAGGCAAGACAAGATGATCAATAATTTGCTTTTAATTGATTAATAAACRTTTGTCTTCTGAAATGTCTATGTGATTAATTCATTCTTTAATGGGAAATGTACTGTTACTCTGAAGGGAAAAACTAGATGGAAATGGTAATCAAGTGGGGAAAATCTCATTGATTAAAAGAATGAAAAATGGAAAGGAAAGGGAGAGGAGTGAGGAAGATTTGTTTTCGAGGGTAGCTTTTTATATGGTGAAAATCTAAGGCACCCAACTTTATAAGATTTTTTTGCAGTAAACCAAGAAAGAACTTTGTTTTTGGGCATAGCTTTTTATATGGTGAAAAACTAAGGCATTCAAATTAATAAGATTTTTGCAGTAAGAATAACAGGGTTATGGAGTCAAGAGTGGAAAAGGAGTTCCAAATTTCCACAGGAACCCCATCCATGGATTATGCAAGGGTTGCCTATGAAGTGGCCAAGTTTAAGAGATTCTGTTTACATGCATAACAACTGTAAACAATGATTACACTTGTAGAATTTGTATCTATACTTTGATATTAAGAGTTAAGCTAAATACACAAGCAGAAAGTCAGGTAAAGGAATATGAGCAAAATAAAATATTACATTCCAGTCTTGGGCACCCTGTGGCTGAAAAAGGAAATTCTTAAAACACAGGTAGCCCAACCCGTAATATTTTGTTTAGGAAATCGAATGGGTTTGAGTGCAGTTTGAAAAAAATATCACAGATGCAGTTCAAAATCTTGATTTTAACCTGCACTAGTGATATTGTTTTCAAAATGCACAAGAACCCATTTGATTTTCTTTTAATAATATGACCAACAAAATTTTTTTGATCAAACATTTTCTGTTTTTTTGTTGTTTTTTTTTTTTGCACAGTGATTTCACTTTTTTGCATAGTGATGTAAAAAAAAACAACTAGTAGCAGACCAATCACAATCAAAAATATTTGATGGCCATATTATTAACAAAGAGAAACTGTATGAAAAAAACGTCATTTCCTTGGTTCATATTGTGATCTAACATGTACACTCAGATATAGCTTATACCTATTATAAACTTGTGGTATGGAGCATCAAAGGAATTAAATATATTTTTGTCGACTCCTCTGGCTGATTTATTATACACTATGTTATTGCATGGGTAACCCATGGATCAAGTTACCATGTAGTGTTTACACTTTGAGAAAGAATTAGGAATGTTTCGGATTAAAGAATTATTCCTATCCTTGAATACGTTTAGACAAAACCTATCATATGTCTATTTTACATTAATTTTTTGGAAACATGCCATCCTGTTTTWGTCGTAAGTTATTCTCTTTTTTTCTGTCAGCTTGAAAACATATATAAAACATAGAATATTTTCAAACTTGTACGATACTGCATTCCTTGATTACAGACTCATTTGGTTTTAAAATAACAATTATCAAAATGAATCAAACCAAAACACATATATATATACTGTAGTTTCAAGGTCTTTGTTGCTTAGTGTTTGCTGTCATTGTATTTAAAGTGTTCGAAGAAAAAAAAATAGGACTTGAAGTATATGTTCCATACCCTTGATGATTCCATATTTTGTACATGAATATGTTAAATTAATATTCAACAATATTTAATATAATTTTACAGCTTCTCATTAATCCCATATAGGTAACTGTCCAATTATTTTCTTAATTGGACAGGTCTTGTTAATATGGGATTAATTAGGCATCTATATAATTAATAGGTAATGGGATTTCATGCTCTCCAATCAAGAAAATWAATCTCTTCCCACCATCACAACTCTACTCTGTACAGTACCTTCACATGTATAATGACTTAAATCTACGGACTTATCTTCTACGACCAAACATCCAAGTCAAGATTAGGGGATTGACGATGGTTAATGTGAAAAACAACATTTTGGACCAGAAGCCAAAAGTTCCATTTCTTTCCATTTCCCTCTCAATAATAGCAACTTTTCTGTTCAGTCTAATGACACTCTTGCGAAGGTCTACTACTTCATACTCATGTGCAAAGATCTCCTCATCACTGTCAATTGCACTTGGGTTGACCTCCTCAATTATCTCCAAACCAGATTGTATACTGAAAATATATAATATTTTTTAAAGGTGAATATGCTGTTTGCATGATGGCATCATTTTATTACCACTACCAAGATGCTTTGCAAATTTTCTTTTTTTATTCAAATTGAATTTCCTCACAAGAATAGTGTAAGACAACTGGTGCTAATCAGTTAAATGAAAGAAAGTGTGCAAGGGATCCTGGTAGTTGTAGTAAATGCCATAATAAAAATGTCTTCATCCTCTTCTTTCTTGCCCTMAGTGAATGAACCTAATCCTCCTTAATTAAGGCGAAGGCTTTTTGAACAGGGAGATTGAAAACAGGGCTCAAAACGCTTTCTGAAAAAGAAAACTTCACTGTTTGTAATGATATAAAACTTATAAATGCTTATAAAGGTTTAATTATTGATGTACACTGTAAGTTAATTTTTCTTCGGAATGATATGATATCACGATTGTCACATAAGCTTATAAGCTTACTAATAACCAAAGGAATGTCAGATTTTCTTTTTTTTACTAAACATAATTTCAAATTTAAATACATGGTAAATAAAGAACAATATTATTCTAAATCGTAATCATATCATTTTAAGTATTTCTACCTTTCATCGTCAACATGTTCAGCAAACTTATTCCCTTCGTGTTTCCTTCTATCTTTGGTATTAATACTTGGTTTTGTCGTGGATTTTGTATGTGGGTAATACGCAGACGTCGTATCATCTACTGTTAGAGTCCTCGGTGGTGTGCTCATGCCTCCCATGAAAGAATTCGGTAAAAAATCTTCCTTTAATTCTCTGGGAATATCATTCTTCGATGCCAAGTACCCGCCTTGCTCGCCATTAATAACGATTCGATCTGGAACTGTCATCGGGTCTAAAATCCCTCCACCCGACCCAGATCTTGACTGGGATTGATTCATAGATTCTTCAGGGTCTTGTTCGTCTACAGTGATTGTTTTTGGCATGGTCATTTGGTCTGATATTCCATCTTGAGTGTCGTTGAATCCTGTGAAGTCAACTTTCGTTCCGGCCGCCATTTTGGGAAAAATCTTCCTGACGAAGAGACTGAGAACTAGTGGTCAGGGATAACCGCGCGTGCTTTCCTTATTTGCATAATTTTCATTTATCTCATTTTTCATGTTCAAATTCATTTGCARTCTAATTTCTTAGTCCTTCGTCTTTTTTATTGCAGTTTTAATGATATTTGATATTTATTAGTTCTTCTTTCTATTACTTTATTAAGCCTTAAATACTTATTTCTCCGATATTTGTGAAAAGACGCATGATAAACATATYTTAGTAAAATGCACCACCCCTCCTCTTTGTCCTTCGTCTTTTGTATTGCAGTTTGTTTTATAGTTAGATCCTGCGACCGTCTTTCTTTTTGCGTAAATAAATTCAATACTGAAAAAAAGGTAGTTTTGTAATAGAACGAATAAAACAGCTCTTTTCGTGCTCCGTTAAGTAATATGAATCATTGAATGTGGAAAGACGCATTAAAAACATATTTATTTTAGTTAAATGCACCACTCCTCTCCTCCTCTCTCCCCTCTTTATAATACTGTAGCCCCCAACTTCAGCTGATTATCAGGTCAAGGGAATCTTATTCAAATCACAGCTAGTGTCGTAACCAGAGAGGAGCACAGGACGTGAACCCCCCATAAAATCTCACCGTCCGCTTATCTATCTCCATTTGCTTTAAAATGGCATGATTTTTTCTTTTCTTTTCTTTTCTTTTCTTTTTTTTTTTGATTAAATCAAGAGCACGTTCCATACGCATATTGTAGCATTTGTAAGTGTCATAAACCACCCATCATTCCCTCTTTTTTTTTTTTTTGTTTTTGCAAATCATTGCCTGTGCTCCCCCCCCCCCCCCCCCCCCCTGCAAGATGCAAGAATCATGCATGCTTTTTGATTAGAAGCTCCTATTAGATCTAGAGAAAACGACAGCACAACTTCTTAGACTTTTTACGGAATTTAATACAAAAATATTATAAATATATTATTCATCGAATACAGGAACAATAAAATCCAATTTATTCGAAATTCTGTTTCTCTCTGTCATTTTCTAATACCGTTTGACAAGTATTTTTAATCCAACTATAATAAAATTCGTACGCCGCTGGACTCGCCATTCGGGATTCGCCAGGTCAATATTACTGTAGGCAGATGTGGGTTCGATCCTAAACTTTCACTAAAACTCAGTAACATCTTTACAGCGTTGGCATAAAGAATTGAGAGCTTTAAATTTTGATGTGTCAAAAGATTTCCCGCAAAATCGGATYATTATTGACCAACTATGAAGACTGGCATCTCTCTGCACCTGTTTCTTCTGCTTTTTTCTCCTCTTGCTGCTATAACTGTGCCTGTTAATTACGAGACAAACTGCATGGTATCTTCAAACCAGAGACTCGATTCGTCCGCAAATCATTCACTCGTTCTTTTAGAGGAGCGTTTGGTTGCAAACCAACTGATGTGTGCTCATTGGTGCATTCGAACTTCACTTTGCTTGTCGTTCAATTTAGAAAAAGACTCGTCCCAGTTAAATAAAGGAAAACGAAGGTGTGAAATACTCGCGAGCAACAAGATACAGCGACCAGATCTTCTCGAAGAGGACATCGATTTTGATCATTATAGTTTATTTGGTGTAAGTAGCTATGCATTATATTACCAAATAAGAAAAACACAAATTCTTTTTCAAATATGGCAATGATTCCATTAAGAAATGAAAAAGAAAACAAGAAAAAAAGCATAGCCATTTTGAAAAGAAAGAAATTCGAAGAGTTTTCAGTTCAGCAACATCTTTCGTTCTTGAGTTCACAATTCGTGCTTGGCCGTTTTAAAAAATTAAAAAATTGTAGGTCTTTAAAAATGAAATAAAGTGAAAAAAATCGTTCGATTCAAAAGAACTCTTTATTATTTTCTGCTCTTGAACAGAATGTTACATTTACTGTTTTACTATGGTCTTTTGTTTAGTTTCCATCTTTTTTGTTTGTTTTGGTACGTTTCCCGATAACCGTTTTTGGGTAAAGACAAACGATTTAAGCCCACAATAAACACGCCTAAGGACATAGGTAAACTTAAATTTTCTATTTCTTGGTTTCATTTAGATAAAGGACATTTACCGGCCAGAAAAACTAATTAATATTCTCGTTTGTACAGCTGTTCAGCTATGGCAAAATCTGCTGGGCCCGTTAGTACGAAGCCTGGATAGCGCTGTCCAACGGATAAATCCCTATCCAGTGGACTAAATCGATGCTGTTAGTTTATCTACTGGATTAGATTTATCCGTCGAATAGCGCTATCCAGGCTTAGTACTAACGCGGGGTCCTGATGGATTATCTTTCAAACTCTTTTTACAGAATCCATGTAAGGAGAATCCCTGTCAACATGAAGGAGTCTGTGTGCCAGATTACAGTTTACAAGACTATAAATGCACATGTAAACCAGGATATACTGGGAAAGATTGCCAGAGAGGTGAGATATAAACATTCGGGGTTTTTTTTGATGACCTTCARTAAATGGGCGGACCCAAAACGTTTCATGTTGGAAGACATTTTTGTGTGAGCCACACTTCGAGTGAAATTTTAGCCAGATGAAAGATATTTCCTTATATCTAGAGACATTAGAATAAACATTTTTATTATTATCGTATAGTAGTATGTTTACGAGATTGACACTAAACCATAAAATTGGTTATTGATGGAGCAGTTTTCGTTCGAGTGTGAAAAGCTGGCGGCACGAATACGATCGTGACAAGGCATACGTCAGACTAATCACGTTGCGTGACTATTTACCGTCCATCGAATCAAATACCCAGACCGCGAGATAAACACGGCGCGGACACGGTCACGCCAAGGTCACGGCAATACCAGACCTATCACATTGCGCGTGAAATAAAATGAGCAAATTAACATTCTAGAAAACGGAGAGTTTTTTAATTACATATCGGTTTTTGAAAGTCAAAAGATTGATTAATTTTTATTTTGACTGTTATATAGAAAGTAATAGAACACCCTCCGGGTAGCACATGACGGGCATGCAGTGTTTGCCTGTCATAATGAAGGCTGATAATGAGAATATATGTTCTCTTTAGTACATATCAGCAATAAGAGGTCACTTTAGTGAGAGAAAGACCAAATTAAAAGTTATAAAAACTGCCTTAGGCCCTTCTGATCATCATGCGCATAATTTCTCATGTATGTACTGAGGATTTACGTTTCACTTTTGACATAAATTTTCAAAGTTCATGGGAAAAACCCTTTCTTGATTTTATATACAAGTTCATTTCCTTGGTCCGTTCTGATCACATGGTTGAACTCATGAACTATTAATGACTTTAGAACGGCCAGTAGTATGATCTCTCCTGCTTGATTTTCTCACTATTTAGATATCAACGAGTGTACTGGCTCTCATGGTTGCCATCCAACTCACGGATATTGCGTTAATACTGTAGGATCGTACAACTGTTACTGCAGAAGTGGTTATGTGGGAGATGGAAGATCATGCACTGGTAAGAGAAATAATTGATAACTATTCGCAGAAGGCAAAGTGATTATCGAGGAATATTTACTGAGCCGCGAGGTTCACCATTTATTTACGGCAAAGAAAAAAAGATTTACATGACATTAATAACCGAAATGAAATATGGAGGATGCAAGACAACAACGTGATGGGTTAAGCAAAGATCTTCTCGGCATCTAMTAATGTGAAAATAAAAATATGATAATAATTTGCCTTGCCTTTGAATCGAAGCAAAACGAACGGTGAGCTTGCCATGATAGACACCTTTTTATAACACCTTGGACAACTGATCATTCACGTCTATCATTGCAAGTTCACCGTTCTTCTTGCTTTGATGCAAAGGCACGGCTACCTTTCAAGATGGCGTAGGAAACTGTAAAGGGGACTATTGGACTGGAACAAGGCTTTACCCCACTRTCTCGCTTTCTATAATAAAGGTAAAGCATATTCTTTTCTTTTTTAATTTTTTCTTTAAGTTAGGGAATGCGTCCACTACAATACACTCACAGAACGTAGCCGTAATATCAACTACGGCTTGGTCGGAAGTAAATGTGACGACACGGGAATCCTAAGAGCAGGAGACTGGTACAGATTCACGGGTTCTGCGGGATCGCGCATGCTCGATAGGTGTCCCACGACTAAATGTGACACTGCCTTCCAAGGCTGGCTATCAGGAGGACAACCTGGTTACGGTCAAGTTAAGGTGTCTCGTGCGTTGTGTTGGCAAGGAAACAACATCTGCTGCAACTGGCCTTCGACAATCAGGGTTACACATTGTATATCTTTCATTGTGTATGAACTGAAGCCAGTTAGTGGTTGTCACCTTCGCTATTGTGGATTTTAAGAGGGGCCAGGGTGGATGGATTAACAGTTAACTGACAATTGATCTAAAAATTAGTATAGTTAACTTAAATTCGGGTTGTCCCAAACCACACCCCTTTTTGGACTTGGCTTGATAAATAATATAATAATAATAAAATAATTGCTTGTTTATATAGCGCAAATATCTAGAAAAGTACTCAAATGCGCTTGATACTACTGGTCATCGCTTTATACCTTTTTTTTGATCTTAGGATCTAATGCCTACTGTTTTGCCAACTTGCCAACGCTTGTTGTCGGTAGGGGATATGAATTGGAATTTTTGTGCTTTTATTTTATCAGGCTAAAATACGAAAAATCACGTTTCTAACTCAAAAATTATGCTTCATATTCCATTCTAAAAGGAAATCACGTTGTTAGACATTGAACACATTACATTTTTCAGTATGCTACTCAGCTCGGTCTCAAATTTTAGATTTCACAACGTTTTTTTTTTGAAATAGGTCAGTAGTTGTTGACCAGTTGTGGAAGTCACAATGAGGGATTTGGCACCTTTTTTTGGGATTTAGAAATGAAAAAAACAAAGGTGTGTTATACGTTAAGAGTGGTATGAAAAAGTGCTTTAACAAAGATACTCAGCTCAAAGTATAATTAAGGATGCATTTTCCGCCCAGCCAGTTGTTTTTCCATCCATGATCCTCTTAACCACTACTATTCATACAAAAAAGAATACCAAAACTGGAGTCTAGTACTGATTCGATTACCATGTGAATCAAAACCCTCTTATGAAACCCCATCTGCGTCCTTATCTCCTTATGACCCGCCCATCAAAGTATTGTACGACTGCAGAGCTTTTATATTCCGGGAAATAAGTACCATAATGCTTTCAATTGCTCTAGAAAGACCGCCACAGGGCATCTGTATCTTGTATTATCACGCTAGCTCTTTATGTTTCTTATAGCTTAAAGGCGGCAAAATGTTCAAATATCGATCTCAATATAGTCAACTCTATCATTTTGCTTAAGACTGTTTCGCCTGTTTCTATATAATGGAAGTTGCTAATAGAATAGCCGACGAAAAACAGCAGAGTGCTTGTTCTACCTACTACTTCAAAACTTCAAAGCTACAAACAAAGTATCATATTTATTGGACACTGGAACACCCTCAGGGCTGAAGAAACAGCACGTACTTCGAACCCTGAAACAATCTCTGGGGTGATCAAAGTCAGGGCATTGCTAACTCACAGATAGAACCCCGAAACAACCTCTGGGCTGATCTAAGTCAGGGCATGGCTAACTCACAGATAGAACCCCGAAACAACCTCTGGGCTGATCTCAGTCAGGGCACGGCTAAACTCACAGAGCAAAAACCCTGTATAAACTGAAAAAAAACCTTTACTAGAATAAATTCAACCGATCAAACTTTCAAAACGTTGTGCTCAATTAATTGGTGCTGATAAGGAGTAATTAGTAACATTCCTATTAAGCAGATGAATATTGTATGGACTGTACACCCATAGGCCTGTAGCGATACTTCCATTTATTACACTGAGAGTGCACTCAATATCTTGCTTACAAAAGCTCTTRAAAATATGAATTCAAATTACTTGTGTTGAGTCATTGAGGATTGATCGATGACGTACGAGGCAAATTGGATCTCGTGCGCCTGATAATGAATAAGCTAGCGACATCAATCAGGTTTATAACATAGAGGAAAGAAGTACTATTTGAATCTTCAGAATTTCTCTGTACACAATTATGAATGCGTACATTTTTCAAGGTATTTTTTGTGCGTCGATGTTTTCTTCCTTCTGTGGTATTTCCAAAGCGAACGAATCGCGAAGCTTTATCCTCATTTCGAACAGAAGACTTGTTCAACCAGACCTGAAAAAAGATGTTCTTCTGAAAAAAAGAAGTGTTGTCAACCAGCTAATGTGTGCTCAATGGTGTCTTCGAACTCCATCTTGCTCTTCGTTTAATTTAGAAAAAGAATCTGATCAAAATAAGAAAAATAGAACATGCGAATTACTTTCGCTGGTTGAGATACAACTACGACCAGAGCTTTCACAAGAAGATATTGACTTTGATTTCTATACCTCGCCAGAAGTAAGTTACATTTTTTCAATTTGGGATTTTTTTTCTATTACTTTAAATCTGGTTTTACTTTTAATGGATATATTTGAACAACGTCGCATATTTTTTTTATTTTTTGGCCAACTACAACGAAACAACACCGAGAACAGTTTTTGTTTTTTTCTCCTATAGATTTTGATATTGAGCAGTCTGTTCCCAAGCAAAATGTTCTGCCTCTTGTAATCACCAATTTTACAACTTTTTGATGTGTAATTAGCTAGCTTCAAAATTGTTTGTACCTTTCTATGCGCTTCCTGGGAACTAAGTTGCTTAGTCACCCCGCTTCAACAAAACCATAATTCAGAATGCTAGGACGTTGCATGATGGTGTCATTTGACTCCCACTACCATAATGCTTCGCGATCGAATTTTCTTTCTTATTTAATTTTGTATTCCCTCATGAGAATAGCAAGACAATTGGTGCTAATTAACTGAACAAAAGAAGGTTTGCAAAGGGAGTCTGGTAGTAGAGGTCAATAACGCCATCATGCAAACGTCCTATTGGTCAGAACATATTGGTTCATGATTGCCATTTGAATCTGACTACAGTCATCCCCGTTATCAGTGTAGCTTTTACTGATGGACATAGAAATTTACAGCGACTTATTATCATTATTATTATTATTATTATTATTATTATTATTAGTATTAGTATTATTAGTATATGAAATAGGACTCCATGCTGTCCAATTAAGATATAATTGGACGAGGAAAATTCCGAGGACTGACAAAATTGGATGAGGCCGTAGGCTGAGTCCAATTTGGCAGTCAGAGGAATTTTTCGAGTCTAATTATTTCTTGATTGGGGAGCATGGAATCACATTACCTATTAATTATATAGCTGCCTAATTAATCCCATTTCAACAAGACCTGTCCAATGAAGAAAACAATTGGACAGTTACCTATATGGGATTAATGAGAAGCTGTTTAATAATTATTATTATTACTTTATTATCATCATTATTATTATTATTATCAAAATATTTATCTATATTTACTATATTTATTAACCTATATTTATTAACCTATTTACAAATGAAATTCTCCTCTTCTTTAGGAACGCTGCAAAGACAGTTCTTGTGAAAATAATGGGTCGTGTGTCGGGTCATCTTCGACTTTCTACTGTCTTTGTAAAAATGAATACAGAGGAGCGCAATGTGAGAAACACGGTAAGCTTTGAGCATTTATTATAGCATTATTCGTGATATTTTATTCAAATCTTTCTTCATCCTGGCTGGTCTTATTCGTATTTAGGGCCTTACTATTTTCTTAACAGAACATATCAAAAACGTAGAATGGGTTAAGAAATAGTCAAACATTTTGAGAGGTGTGAAAAAATTGACCATAACCTCAAAATTCTATCTTTTTTACACGAATGATTTTACTTTGTAATGTGCTTGATAAAGTTGAAACATTTCTGAATATGGAATTATTCTTAAGCAATTGGTTAGCGGAAAAACTCACGTCTCTTTTGCTGTGAAGTTTCTATGTGTATGGTCTAAATATTACAAAAATGCGCGGAAAATGTGTCGCTGTCTCTTATCATCCTTTCAATACACCATTGAAGAATCTGATGAAAAAATAGCGCCGCTAGCTCAACATTTTGAGCACATTTGACATTTGATGTAAGGGGTATACTTAAAAGACTCTTCTTCAAGTCCTAGATCTACCTCTGAGCAATCAATACGAGCAAAATTTGAGATCTAAAATACGTGTATTCTTGTAGTTCCAGAGTGCGTCCACTATCATAACCTGACCGAAGCTGATCGTAATATCAAATACGGCAAAATCAACAAAACATGGGATGGCACTGCTGTGATCACAACAGGACAGTGGTACAGAATTACTGGTCCCGCGGGATCTCGTATGTTAGATTCATGCCCCACATCTGGCTCATGCAATGCGGACTTTAATGGATGGATCGACAGTCAACCAAATCCTGGCGAAGTGCGCGTCCAAAGAGGAGTACAAAAACAAACTCCTTCTAACTGTTATAATTTCCCGCAAAAGGTACTTGCAACCAACTGTGGCAATTTCAATGTCTACCAGTTGAAAAGTCTTAACAAGTACGTCCGCTACTGTGGTACTGACTAGTAACGCCATCGGTACAGCACAAGCCGATCACGGACAGGGTAGTCTCCCTCGCATCCGTTTTTAGTGTCGGTAGTCACGCAACGTGCGTGACGTGACGACGACACTAAAAACGGATGCGAGGGAGACTACGGACAGGGAGACCTACTTAGAAAGTAAATGATGTAATGCATTCATAAAAATACAATGATTCACTACTAATGCAATAGATAGAACGATAAAAGAATACAATAGATTTTTTGGATACATTCAACAACTGAGTGCTCAAGGTTCTCCCATTACGGATACGATATAGACCTCTTGCATGTGAGGTCAAAGCAGCTCAGTTTGGAGGACACAAAAGAATTTCAATCTCCTTAGAATTCAAAACCAATTTATATGGCCCCCAAATTGAGCTGCACTCCGACCATTCTCTTAGTCCGTCTTAGTCACCAAAACAAAACAATCGAATTTTTCGTAAGATAGCTGAGAAGACTTTGGGTACGAGAATGCAATCCGACGTGCTGCAACTAATGGATGTGATGCGGTTCGTACGCATGGGGACGAGATTTCATGACGCGGCACGGATACGGTAACTCTAGCAAATCTTATCGTGAGGATATCATATCGTGAGGTATAATCAATGTCAGGATTAGCCTAATTTAATTAGCCTCGTTGACTTGAACACAAATACCAACGGTATTACGTGTCAGTCAATAAAGAGGGTGCCAATGGGGGGTATACCCAATTGTCAGTTAACTACTAATTTTTCGGCCGAGAGCTGGTCAAATAATGAAATGTCAGTTAAGTACTAACCCCAATCACCCTCATTCAAACTAACTCTGTTCAAAAGCGGTCGATATTAGCCATGAGTAATAGCTTTTAATGGACCTCAAGTACGTACTCTGTACTCTATTACTTACGATGGCCTAGAGGTGCAATACAAAAGTTCATTCAGTTCGATAGCGATTACAATGACAACAAGCTTCTCCGATTTGAAGTCTTGCATCAGTGAAGCTAACAGCTTAAACTGATACAATGTTTAAACTATCGCGTGTTACGTTTAGTAAACTGTAAATGCCGTTGACTATGCAGTGAATACTCAAATCGTTAAGAAATGTGAAAAAAATTTCTTGATATCGTGGCCAAGAAAAAGAGACAGGCAGACAGACAAGTAAGTGGCAGAAGCTGAAAATTTAGTATTCTCATTAACTACGTGCTGATCATTTGTGCACGTACAATTACTTAAAGACCCATTGCCACTTATCGTGATACATCACAATTTGTTTACATTTTGAATCGTGTCACCACTGAAAAAACAATTCCAACCTTTTGAATAAACTCTCAAAATAATGTAAAAGAATCATTTTTGTGCCTTAGTGCTATGTCGGAAAAGGATTTAATATGAAGTTATTATTCAATATATCAATCTTTGAATTTCATGGACCACGAAATTTATCTCTGACCGCGGTGCGTCACGGTAAGTGGCAATGGGTCTTTGAGGTCATGCAAATAATAGTGTATATTAAAGAAGTTAAAAGAAATCATCATTGATGACTCATTCAGAAAACCTATCAGTCAACATTTTGTCAAGGGTGTTTCAATGACATCATTGCAGACATCAACTGGTCAAAGTCGATCGTGATAGAATTTATTCATTCGAAGTGATGCAATGTTTTGACATTATAAACGTGTCATTCCCTAGAATATCATTTCTTTGTTTAACGGTTGCGCATGAGAAGACACATGACTTGAGGTTTTGCCAAGTAAAAAAAWTTTTTAAATAAATTAAAATAAAATGAATTTTATAACCAGTTGTGATCAGTAAATAATACTTGTAAAGATGATGAGAGTATGTGGACCGCGTGGCACTAATGAAATAGTACGTAGAAGATAATATAGGTAAGTTGTAGTGCTTGGGAACGAGGTTATTCCGGGCGAAAGCCCTTGGAATTAAATTCGGAAAAATTAATTTCCGACCTCGCTGGGATGCCAGCGAGGTCGGAAATTAATTTTTCCGAATTAATTCCAAGGGCTTTCGCCCGGAATAACCTCGTTCCCAAGCACTACAACTTACCTATATTATCTTCAAATAATACTTGTGCTCATCAAAATTACAATACAATACAATAAACTTTATTTAAAGAGGGTGACACAATTAACCCAGAGAGTTATCTAAAACGTGGCCCTCACACTAATGAAACAATTCAAAAATATAAGAAATTAAAAGTACAAAAATTACATCATATTACTGGAAATTTGAATAAATTACACCTTTTGCCGTTCATTAACAGAAAATGTACATTCATTTGTGCCAATAGTTGTAACAATAACGTGTATAATGTACTTTCATCAACACCACAAGTAACATCATTAGCGCGAATCAGCTTTCAATAACGACGATTGAATATGCGTGTACATTCATAGGCATCAATGGACAATCAATAGCGCGTTCGTACATTCATATGCGCGGAATGTATTTTCTTGTGCGCGAAATTCAACTTCAATAACACCAAATGACAGACAATTGCATTTATGGACAATCATTTACCCAAAAGTGGAAATTCATTAGTGCTATTAGCATAATCATTGACAATCTATAACGCGCTTGGACAATCATGAGGGTCAACGTTATTTTCTATAGCGTGGTTCGACAAACATTTGCGTGATTCGAATAAACAATAAGAGAAATAAAACAATCATTAGCGATTTTCTAAAAAACTATTTAGCCTTCAATTTCTTCGCCATTTATACATCGTGGCAAATACGTTTGCATATATCTGAACCACTGACCACATTTAGCGATAGTGATAGTTGCCACATTTCTCTGGAACCCTTCCATTAGCAACTGCTTTCTGTAGAGACCTAGAGCAATCCCTTGTCGTCTTGCCTCAGCCCAATAGTTCGTATGTTGTTGGATCACTGGACGACTGATGTCGGCTTTAATTGCTGCTTTAAGTGAGCTAATTGCTATTCTCCTACGCAGCCGCTATTATGGAGGCAGTTTCCTGAGTTTTTAATATGTATTAAAGTGATAAAAAAACGCTAATGATTGTTTTATTTCTCTTATTGTTTATTCGAATCATGCAAATGTTTGTCGAACCACGCTATAGAATATAACGTTGACCCTCATGATTGTCCAAGCGCGTTATAGATTGTCAATGATTATGCTAATAGCACTAATGAATTTCCACTTTTGGGTAAATGATTGTCCATAAATGCAATTGTTTGTCATTTGGTGTTATTGAAGTTGAATTTCGCGCACAAGAAAATACATTCCGCGCATATGAATGTACGAACGCGCTATTGATTGTCCATTGGTGCCTATGAATGTACACGCATATTCAAATATCGTTATTGAAAGTTGATCCGCGCTAATGATGTTACTTGTGGTGTTGATGAAAGTACATTACACGTTATTGATACAACTATTGGCATAAATGAATGTACATTTTCTGTTAATGAACAGCAAAAGGTGTACAATTGTAAAACAAATGGAAAAGAAAATTTGACCAAAATTCAAGAAATGAAGAACTTTGTGCAATATAAAGTAATGACGCAATATGTTTTTGCTTTTTTRATTAATTTTTACTCCCCACCCTCCCCCTCCCCTCTTTATCCCTGTTGTAACGGTTATTTTTGGAACCTTTCTTTGCTTGCGCAATGTAACGATAATCCACAGCAAACGAAATACCAAGAGAAAATTAAAATTTTCGGATGATACAATTCATTAAACGACCACAAAAGACGAAAGCCATGCAAAGTGAAAGACTTTGATAGCCAAAGTAAGAAAGAAAGAAGAAGAAAGGATTGCCTGCTATCAGAGACGTTGACCATAGTTATGAATGATTCTTGATTAAAGCTACCATGCAAGGGCGGATCCAGTGGGGGAGGGGAGGGGAGGGGTTSGATTGGGTGACTAGTGACCCCCCTTTGGAGTTGAAAAATAATAAGAATAAAGGATAAGATAAGACCTAAAAAGGACGTAATGCATGACTATGGTTCAACAGACTTTAAAAAAATTGAAGAAGCAGATGCGAATGAGTTTCAGATGTCTTATCTACAAGAGATATACGTTGGCATTTCGAACACGGCTATGACTTCTAGTAAAGATTGAAAATATCAAAATGCATAGATAAACTTTATTACCCTCGGTTTTACATGAAGCTCGTTAGGCCTCTAGCATACACTGCGCGCTAATTATCCGAGAAACTAGAGCACGAATTCGAAATTCAAAGCGGAATTGCGGCAAAGAAACGCAACCTCAACTTCCCCTGGATCTATATCTGACATGGACTGAAGACGTGACTAAACCATATCTGACTAGTTTCACTTGTTGTTCAAGGCAACCGGATGCAACCATACGTAAAAACTACACCATGCAAACGTGATCCGTACACCACCACCCACTAGGTTTTTGACCGGATATATAAGAACACGGTTAGAACTTTAAAAGATATCATTCATACCTTAAAAGTGTTCGAAGTTGACCTCACGAATTGCCCAAGCTCACAGTATAAAATAGAAGAAATGAAGACGTACACTGCACTCTCTGCTATACTTGTGGTTCTGATGGTCAGTAAGAAAAATACATCTATAAATTCATCCAAATTTTTGAATTTATTTTATAATGAGATACATGTATTTAGAATAATAGTATTCAAATCTGTTAGAAGAACTGTGTTTTGCTAAGACAAGCTATGTCAACTTTTCTACGTTATACTTTGATCTTACTTTACTGATAGTAAAGTGCCCACGATAAACCAATGAAAACCGTCGGTAAACTAAACGCTGCCAAAAAGGGATTTACTAGGGTGATTTTACTTGGCCAGGGTGAAATAGCAAGCATAATAACAAGGTAGTAAACACTACTAAACTCCGTTTTTT